AGCCAGTCCATCCTGCAGATGGAGCGGACGAGCCGACGCGACGTTCCTCTAATTAACGATCGTCGTTAACGATCTAATTAACGACCATCGTTAACGATCTAATTAACTAGAAGCTGCTGCAGGCACTGGGGGACGTGAAGCGGGACCTGCTGGAGAGCCAGTCCATCCTGCAGATGGAGCGGACGAGCCGGCGCGACGTTCCTCTAATTAACGACCGTCGTTAACGATCTAATTAACTAGCCTTCCTCTTGCTGCGCAGGCGGAGGTGGGGAAGCTGCTGCAGGCACTGGGGGACGTGAAGCGGGACCTGCTGGAGAGCCAGTCCATCCTGCAGATGGAGCGGACGAGCCGGCGCGACGTTCCTCTAATTCTAACGACCATCGTTAACGATCTAATTAACTAACCTTCCTCTCGCTGCGCAGGCGGAGGTGGGGAAGCCGCTGCAGGCGCTGGGGGACGTGAAGCGGGACCTGCTGGAGAGCCAGTCCATCCTGCAGATGGAGCGGACGAGCCGGCGCGACATTCCTCTAATTAACGACCGTCGTTAACGATCTAATTAACTAGAAGCTGCTGCAGGTGCTGGGGGACGTGAAGCGGGACCTCCTGGAGAGCCAGTCCCTCCTGCAGATGGAGCGGACGAGCCGGCGCAACATTCCTCTAATTAACGACCGTCGTTAACGATCTAATTAATTAGAAGCTGCTGCAGGTGCTGGGGGACGTGAAGCGGGAGCTGCTGGAGAGCCAGTCCCTCCTGCAGAAGGAGCGGACGAGCCGGCGCGACATTCCTCTAATTAACGACCGTCGTTAACGATCTAATTAACTAACCTTCCACTCGCTGCGCAGGCGGAGGTGGGGAAGCTGCTGCAGGCGCTGGGGGATGTGAAGCGGGACCTGCTGGAGAGCCAGTCCATCTTGCAGATGGAGCGGACGAGCCGGCGCGACATAACGCGGGAGGATACGGCCGTCGCCCTCGCACGCCTACGCGAGGACCTACAGGAGAAGGTATACGCCCGATGCGGCCAGGGTAAAAAATACGCGGGAGCGATGAGCGATTCGCTCTCTTCAAACCTCCGAAATCGCTCCCGTGAGGCTCAAAATAGCTCTCGTAAAAATTTTGACGACAGCTATTTTTTCCACAGACTTGAAAAAGAGCTCCCGTGAAAAAAAAGATATTTTTTTCCCCGAAGGTACGCCCGATGCGGGGAGCACGCGGAGTTCGCTGAGGATTGTGTCGTGCTGTGGGTGCTCGCCGTGCGGCGTTATGATCATGGTGGAGCAGCATTAATTATTAATTATTAATTATTAATTTATGGTGGATTAGCCAGGAATGAGTATTGTGGGAGTGCAGAAAAAATATTTGGGAGTGCAATTTTACAAATGTACACGGCTTTAGATCAATGTTTTAGGCCGTGTTATACATTTTTTGGCCGTGCAGTTTCAAAACTGACTGTACAGATCACGGATGCACGGCTCGCTGGCTAATACGTTGTGGAGCAGGCAGTTTGATGGGGGTGTTGGTGGGGTGGTAGGGGAACTGACAGACCGTTCCTGCCTTCTTCCCACTTGCCGTGGTCGAACGTATCAGAAACGTCACGAATAGTTTGAAATAAAACGTAAAATTCCCGACGTTCTAGACTCTGTGTGCGAACGCCGTTCTGAGCGAGACACGCGTGCCACGCTGTGACCGTCTCTCTCTCTCTCTCTCACTGCAGGATGAGGAGCTGGGTAGACTGAAGCAGCGACTGAGCGAGGCCATGCGGGAGGTCGCGGGGAAGACCAGCGCCGCGGAGCTTGCGAGACAGGAGTCGTCCGTAGCCGTGAACAAACTAGAGACCGAGTGCAAGGTGCTCAGGAAAGACAGGGATAGGTGGGTGGAAGACAGCGGTGTAACTACTGTATAGTAAACAGTGGACTGTATGGTAAAATATACTGCATATAACTTCTGTATTGTAAACTCTATACTGTGTAGTAAAATATATCGTGTATGTAACACGCTAGTGTACTGTACTGTACACTGTAAAAGTACTGTATGTTACCGTACAGTACTTTTATGCACTGTAACATGCCTCTACAGTCTCACTGTCTGTATAGTATCGGGTAATTCAGCGACGCTGCTAACGAGGCGTCGCTAACGATGTGTCGCTAACGAACGCGGCTTTCAGGCTTGGGCAGCAGTCTGAGGAGAGGCTGGGAGAAATCAGCAGCCTCCGGGTGAGGCCCCTAACGATGCGTCGCTAACGATGCGTCGCTAACGATGTCTTTCAGGCTCGGGCAGCAGTCTGAGGAGAGGCTGGGAGAAATCAGCAGCCTCCGGGTGAGGCTCCTGGAGATGGAGAGAACCCTCGCGAAACTCGACGCGCAGGCACGATCGTCCGATCGCGCGGCTCGGACGACGAAGAGCCGTAACGGGGGGGAGAGGTCGCGATCCGGCGCGCCCGCCGCTCCAAGACCCGGGGGACTCAGGCGGCCCGGTAAGGGTGTGGGAGGACAGGTCGCAGATCAGGCAACCCTGAGCTGGCAGGACAAGGCGATCGGGGGATCCTGGGAAAACAGGGTAGGGGGAGGATCACGACCTGGGAAATCGGGAAGCCAGTAAGGGTGGAGGGTCGCGACCTCGGGAATCGCCCAGGAACCGGTAAGAGGTGGCGGGGGGCGCATCGCGGGAATCCAGAAGCCGGTAAGGGGGGGAGAGTCGCGATCCGGCGCCGACCCGGGGGATCCCGGGAAGCCGGTAAGGGTGAGGGTCGACGCCGGGAATCCCCGTGGCAAGCAGGTAAGCGTGATGGGTCACGACCCCGGGGAATCCCGGGAAGCCAGTAAGGCTGCGAGGGTCGCACCGGCGGGATCCGGGAAGCCGGGTAAGTGGAAGGGCGGCGTGTGGGGGGGGCGATCCGGGGAATCCCGGAAGGCCAGTAGCGGTGCGATGGGTCACCGACCACGGGGATCCAGGAAGCCGTAAGGGGGGGCCGATCCGGGAAATCCCAGGAAGCCAGTCAAGGGTGGAGGGTCACGACCCGGGGGATCCCGGGAAGCCGGTAAGGGGGGGGGGCGATCCGGCGTCGACCCGTGGGAAGCAGGTAAGGGGGGGTCGCGATCCGGCGCCGGCCCGGGGAAATCTAAAATCTAATCTACGGACGAATCTAGGGGGAACCAGTTAGAAATCCCCGGACCGGCGGAATACGTCGACGTTTTTTTCATTTGAATTTTTCACGTGCGAGATTCGCTCGGTAATTAGTATCCGTAGAGATAATTAATCAAACCTAGCCACTTGTCCCGCATGGGATAACGGCATGGTGAGGATGATATCAACAAATGCCAGAATGTCGGAAACGGACTATCGTTATTGCAGTGCTCTCAATGGCTGACGTTAATTTTTTTTCAATATTCAAAAATCCAAACCCGGGTAGCGTAAGCTTCGCACAAGAACGCTCGTATTTAAATCAGATGCAATCACTGCCAAACACGAGGAAGGAGCTTGCGAACAGACAAAACTCGCCTCAAGTATCACTACGCTCTTATTTTTATACCAGATGTGCGTGTAGGTGGCGTTGGTCGCAGTGGATTTACGCCGACGGGAAGGTTCGCAAAAACTCGGGACACCGCCCGCAAGCTCGGGCTCGCAGGCAAGCGAGTGGAAGAGCTAGAATCCATGAATCGGGAGCTGAAGACCAACCTCGGAGACAAAGACGAAAGCTTATCTCAGGCAAGCGCCATCTTCTTCGCCGCTTTTCTTTGATGGGTTTGAAATCCCGGGGGCCTGTCGTCGTCAGAGTCGTCGTAAATCCCGGGGGCCT